TATAATTGTTTAAAATTCGATATTTAGCTTTGATAATTAGTAGACCGACAAACTGACCACTAAACTACCATCACTTGATTTTGGTTTAAGTTAATTACCGTTAGATGATGAAGAGCGCTAGGAGAATCAGAGAGAAATTTGACGGCGAGGGTGATGAGGACGGGGACAGAATCGTGGCCAGGAATCATCATGTCAATCATATTGTTAGCAATCAAATTGTGAGTTAAATATTCATTTGGGTCCTTAAGCAACACATCCACAACATCTTTTGCAATAACACCATCTTCTTCTTTGTTCTTTGCTCTCCTAATTTTGCATTCTATGATCTTTTCAACTTGCTTCACCATCTTCTTCTTAGCTTGGAGAGATCTATGAAGTTGAGTTCCAGGGAAATTAATTGGTACTGACATGAGCCCTTTGATGAATTGTTCAAACTCTTCCTTTAACTCTTCCAACTCTTCTCCTTTCTCTACACTTATCAATGCCTTTGCAAGTACTTTAAATGCAACCTACCAATTAAGATAAAATAAAATTATTACAACGAAAAGGGTAATAATTAGTTATTAAACAAAAAAAAGAAGAGAAAACTTGTAATCATTATATCGAATGTAATAATTGTAACCATGTTCTTTTTAAAAATTAAATACATTAATGCTTCCGTTGTAGCATCATTATATTGCCCCTTTTAATTTCTCAATCAGTGCATGGACCATCATATGAATAAATTTTAGAATTTATAAAAGAAAATATTAATTAAAGAGAAGAGTATACTAACAGTCTTGGAGACATCTTGGAGGAGAACAGGTCGGTCTTCGGACCATAGATCCATGGATTCGGACAAAAACTTGTGCATGTCGCTAACGATTTGAACTTTGAGAAGTGGTGACTTTAAGAACGAACCGACTAATCCATGGAACCTTCTATGTAAACTTCCGTTTATCAGAAGTATCGACGATTTCCCCATCAGTTCCCTCACCGTTTTCGGGTAGAACGGTACGAACGCCGTCGAGTCGCTTTGTAGAACGGCTCTGTTCACTTCAGCATCCGTCGACACGATCGTAGCCGTCCCAAATATATGCGACTTAAACACTCTCCCATACCTTTACATACACAAATATTAGAACGTTAACGTTTTGAGATTACAAGAATACCCTACTTTTCCATAAGTGTATATAAGATATACAACAAGTGGTGCATTTCCAAAATCTATTTGAGTATGTATATGAATTTAGCTTATTATCTCGGTATTAAATTGTGTTTTGTCGTAAAGGTTTAAAGTGTACATATAGAGAGGGAGAAAGTTCTTACTGGAGTCGACGCTTGTCCATGAAACTCTCGGGATGGTCAGAGTAAGCAGAAGAGACGAACTCGATGGTTTCTCCGAGGACAGGCCATCCCAAGCTTCCCTGTGGAAACTTTGGGCCGTCACTGTGAGTAATAACATGATGATCGATAAGTTTCTTCTTTGAAGCTGAAGATGATCTAAGACCGTTGATCTTATT